GATGTTGTTTTGTACAATGAGTTTGGAATTTAATAGCTTTAAATTTAGGCATACTTTTTATAATAAGATTTATATTTCATCCGAATTATAATGGTTTGGTTACTCTTTATTATATTTGAAGATAATTTCAAATCTATTGGCTGCCAACAACTTCGCTTAGGAACTTTCAATTGTTTCCGAACTTTCAGTTGAAGTCACGTTGTTACATGTATTAGCTATAATATTATAATACGTAACATTACATTTTAAATTCTGGTTAAAATATCATTAGAAAGTCATCTTGATACGACAACATCTCTTTTCTTTTTTAACTCATCAGTTAGATAGATTTATGAGTCCGAGATCTTTCATTTGGTTTTATTGCATGTTTTAACAGAGCAAATTAATCTTCAAGTTGAATAAGCTAAGTTTGATATTTGTGGTTTTTGTATGTTTTTGGGCAGTCAGAAGTGAACTTCTTGGGGATGCTTTCACACCCAAATCTGGTGAAGTTATTAGGATATTGTCGTGAAGACAAGGAGCTTTTGCTTGTCTACGAGTTCATGCCTAAAGGAAGTCTTGAGATTCATCTTTTTCGACGTAATTAAGATCCTTTTAAACCCACAAAACAATGTCCATCGTTATAAAAAAAATATGATTCGAAAAACATTGATTTACTAATTTGCATGATCTTTATTTAATTTAGGAAACGACCCTTTTCCTTGGGACTTAAGGATCAAGATTGTGATTGGTGCAGCTCGTGGCCTTGCGTATCTACACGGCTCGCAAAGAGAAGTCATCTATAGAGACTTCAAAGCCTCCAATATACTTCTCGACTCGGTTAGTCTAATTATAAAACTCCCATTATATGACAGTAATTAGAAGACTTTTACCAAGGATGTGGTCGGCTAGTTGTTAGCACTTGGAATTGGTCTCATTGTGCGCCTAATTCAATTCTCCTTGGGAAGGAGGAGTATTCTCAAAGAGAATAGACCGACTCTGGGCCACAGAGATTAGAGCATCTCCAATGAAAGTTTCTTCATGAGTTTCTACATAATATAAAAATAAAATATTATGATTTCTTCCACTATCGGAGAAACCCACTTGAAAGTTTAATTAAAGCATTTTTATGGGTTTTTTCAATAGTAGAAAAGACTCATAATATTTTATATTTTTTGGAGAAATTCATGAAGAACCCCTTGTTGGAGATGTTCTTGGGGTTTAGGCCCGAATTTCGAGGTTATTAAAAAAAATAAAATTAGAAGACTTTTTAATCATTTCTTGTTGTTGCTTAGAGATTTGTTTTGATTCATTTATCTGCGCAGAACTATGACGCAAAGATTTCAGATTTCGGGTTAGCAAAGCTAGGACCATCGCAAGAGAAGTCACACGTTACGACTAGGGTCATGGGCACACAAGGGTACGCTGCGCCCGAATATATGGCAACAGGTACACATACAAAAACAAAAATCATAGTTTTTCTCTATAGCCAAAATGCTAAGACTTTAGGGCCATATTCTCTTCGGTTTGGAAACTGTTATTCTTGAAGACTTCAAATCTAAATGTATTGCAAATGAGCCCTTCTAATGTACTACAAAGGGGCCTTCGACCTATGGCATTCCTCATGTTGCTTGAGAAGGGTCAATTTACAGTACATTACAAATTTTAAATCACCATGAATAATAACTCTAGACAAAAGGGTATTCGTTCAATACGTTTTTCTATCTAAACTCTTTACTATTTCGTTTTTTCATTGATTTTCGTTTGCCAAATTCACAACAGAAACCAAAATTAGTCTATTTCCACTGCTTGGATTCAAACTCGTCATCTTCAAGATTCTCTTCTTTTGAGCGACTAGATATTATACACGAGTTGAACAACCGATTTCATATAGAATAACTAACCGTTTTTATTTTCTTCATTCTCAGGCCATTTATACGTTAAGAGTGACGTATATGCCTTCGGTGTGGTTTTACTAGAAGTAATGACCGGACTAAGAGCGCACGATCCAAGACGGCCCAATGGGCAAGAGAGCCTAGTCGACTGGTTAAGACCAGAACTCTCAAGCAAACACAAAGTGAAACGTATAATGGACCAAGGAATCAAAGGTCAATACACATCCAAAGTCGCTACCGAAATGGCACGTATTACACTATCTTGTATCGAGCCAGAGCCGAAAAACCGACCGCACATGAAGGATGTAGTCGACGTCCTTGAACACATCAGACGGATTAACGTAGTCCCGGACACCAAATCGGCCGTTGCTAGCTCTTCTCGGTCCTCACCACATCATTATCAGTATCGAGCTGGTGCGGCCGGGAATGGACGGAGGAGGGCGTCGCCTGGACGGTTTGGAGTAGGGAATGAAATGGTTGCTTGATATTGTTATTTTTATCGGCGGTATATGATATTTTTAAGTGAGATTGATCTTACTATTTTTTTGACCTTATTCTTGAGGTGTATTGTTGTATCATTGTATGATACTAGATTTACTCACTGTTGCAACAATGAAAATATTTAAAATTTGATGAAGTTCAGATATTTTATTGATTGAACAAACGATTAGAAGAGGTATCGGGTATCTATTAGACAAAAATTGGCTTTCTGACTTTTTGTTGATGTTGTTGAAAGTATTCATATTCCCCCATATTTGCAGTTCATCTATGAGTGAGATGAGAATGTAAATATTTTAAATAATTATATAAAACAATAGTCCAATTTTAAACATACGTTTTAAATATTTTATCATTATTTTCAGTTGGACGGTATTTATTTATAAAATTAAACATCAAAGTTTTGGCTTGAGAAAGAAAACATCGTATACAAAAGGATATGAAGATAAATCTGGTGGTTTTTTAGAAGAATAACATAAGGACTAGATTTGGACAATTTTTCAGAGTACAAAATTGGATAATATCATTCCTTGGTTGGGAAATTGCTTCATAACAATTCCTCATGTTTTTGTGTTATACCATTCTCCCACTGTTGTTGCAAACGGTATAAAAAAAACCATAAAATATAATTAAAACGAAATATAACATTTTCACGTTGTTGCGAACTTGCGAATTTTAAAATAGAAAATGAATACAACTTGAATGAAAGAAATAAATAATAGAACTAGCAACATATTACGATCAAATTAAATAAAGCATATGCATAATGTATTAAAGAAGAATAGCTATATATATATAAAAAAAAAAAAAAACATCACTCGGCATTTTCCTCGTCCCCTTCATCTTTCGGTGGAGACTTGTTAAGATCAAACTTTGCAATGGCTTCAGATTCATTCATTTCTTGATCATCTTCCTCCACAAGATCCACATTCAAATCAATCCCTAAATCTCTCCCCCCTTCACCTCCCGAAGTACCACCACCACTACCAGCGGTGACAAAACCACCGGATCCTCCTCCTCTGGCAGTAACAAGAACAAAAGCCGAGTTTGGTCCCGGAATCGTAAACCCTCCAGAAACCGCAGAGAATTTAGGAGGAGGAAGAAATCCTTGGTAGTTCCTGTCCTTATGACACCTCATATGTCCAAAAACCCCTTTCCAAGAACCAAACCCTCTTCCACAAATGTGACAAACAGGTGGTCCTTTCGGTGGATTAGTCAGTTCTGAACCCTTCTTCTTCGTCTTTTTCGCTTCAACGACTCCTTTACCCGAACCATCCGGTATATCTTCAGTTTTCTTCATCTGTCTTGGTTTAGACCATTTCTTCTTCTTCTTACCATCACTCTTCTCTTTCATAACCGCTTCTTCCGCAGCAGCGATAACCAACTTGGCCGCTACAACCGCTTGCTGATTCAAACGCG